TTTGAAATAAAAAGAAAAAAATTCGAAAAACTCACTTATATAGGTAGATTAGAAACTAAAAAACTTGCAAATGCCTAGATCAAGCCCAAATCAACAGATAAACACAGCAGATCTGCAAAAAAAAAACATGCTTAGACTGTCGAACCAAAAAAAAATTGTTAGGTTGCAGAAAAAAAAAAAAAACACCAGCAAGATCACCGGGCAAAATCCGGCTGCAAGGACTTATTTACCTCGGTGGTTGGCCAGAGATTGGAGGAGGAGAAGCTTGCAGCAGAGAGGAAGAAAAAGAAAGAAAAAACAGAGGAAAATTCCAGATGAATCGCCGAATGGGGGGGGACGGCCGAGACGCAGGGAAGAAGGCTGCATGCAGCCTTATACAGACCGATCCCGGTCCGAAAAAAAACTACCGGTGGGCCCCAGCATCCAATCAACTCAGAGATTCCTGACCCAATTTTCGGACCGATCCCGATCCGTATAATTATATACGGACCAATCCCGATCCGTATCATAAATTAATATATACGATTTTAAAATTAATGTATACGGACCGCTTTCAGTCTGTATACGTCATTTTAGTAGTGTAGGGACCGATCCCGGTCCGTATAATAATATACAGACCGGGATCGGTCCATATATATCATTTAAAAAAAACAACAAAAAATAAAAAAAACAGATTTATTTTATTTAATAATTACGTAATATTACCAAATAATGCAAAAATATATTTTACAATGCAAAATAAATGCATTTATAAAAAAATAAAATATGCTTGGAATAATTACTTAAAATAATGACTTAAAATATGTAAAAGTTTAACTATATTATACATGACAAATTTTAAAATATAGCAAATGTAACTTAGATAAAAAAAATAAAAAAGCTAATGTTCAGGGAATATTGGGACCGATCCCGGTCCGTATAAATATATATGGACCGGGATCGGTCCGTATATATCATAAAAAAAATAATAAAAAATAAAGAAAACAGATGTATTTTATTTAATAATTACGTAATATTACCAAATAATCCAAAAATATATTTTATCATTCAAAATAAATGCATTTATAAAAAAATAAAATATG